GATAACTAAACTTTTCTTATAAGAAAATATGGGATTTTCTTGGATAACAACTTTTTCAGAAAACCAAAGGAAACTTGTTCTTTTACAGAAACAAACCGCTTATGAACTCACCAGCTTTATGCTGATATTTCTAAAACTGATTGTATTCTCAAGTCAACGTTAGACAGGTACCCCACAATCTTTTGGAGAATACGGAGCATTTTGAGTAGTCTTGTCTTTATTTTTGTTATACTAATATATAGATAAAACATGTATTACTTTGTTTTCAAACAAATGTAAATATTCCTATGTAATGTAATGGTTGTGTTACTATGCTTACTATGTACATTGGTCGTGATAGTTTACATGACGTCCTCCGCCCCGCAACGTTTCAACCATTGGTTTCGGGGTGTGACACTAACCAACATTACAAGCCATAAAAGGCAAGGAAACTTAGATCTAGCAATCAAGGAAAGGTAAGGGATGAACTTGAAGACTTACAAAGGTCCAAAAGTTCCACAACTAGCTGATGATGAACCAAAGAAGCTAACCGATGCACCACCAATGATCTTCTTCTCCTTAATGAGCTTTAAAGCCTCTAAAATCTCTTGAATAACACGAAAATGACCAAGAACATCAATGGGGGCTGAGATTAGGGTTTCTAGAGGTCTTGGGAGTCAAAGAGGCTGAAAAGAAGCAAACCTAATCATCTTATACCTTTAAATACCCAAAAAGTAGGGTTTTGGAGCATCAGGTGCTCCTCACGTCGTGAGCCCTTAATGATCACGTCGTGTCCTTAAATGAACTTGGTCACCATGTCAACGACCACTCACCCGAACTACTCCAACATCAAACAGCCATAACTTCTTTATTTTAACTCCATTTTTAACGTTTTGTATATCCACAAAAAGGTGGTGAGAAGCTGTAGACATCTATCAACTAATCCTCGCCTCATAACCTTCCGAATGAAAATCCAAAATTTATATAGAGCTTGAACTGCCACTTTACCGATATACCACTTGGCTCCAAGACACGACCCAAACTCCCAGATCACCTCAATTACACCATCCGTACCTAAATGGTTCTAGATATCTCTCTTACAAAGGACCTAATCCATATGATAACACATCTTCAGGACACACTCCAGAATTAGGAAAGAGATTCAGAATAGGGCGTTACAAATCTCCCGCACTAAATTAGATTTTGTCTTCGAAATCACTCATTACTAACACCTGTATCCAAACTAATGATTTGAGGTAAACATCCGTTTATTCTGCGTGGTCCATGGCCTTCCCAAGGAAACTGTACATATGCAACAACCTTTCCTATCTATGTGAAGCACAGATCCTTCGCTGTAACTAAATCTCCAGCCATTCCCAGTGTTGGTCACATTGTTGATAACTACTGAATGCTTCCTCTTACTATGTCCTAGTGTAGAACACCCAACACAACGAATGTATCAAATAATCCTTTGAGTAAGAGATTCATTCTTGCAATGGTTATACGCATACGAGAGTTGCGAAACAAAGTCAAATCGATTACTCTGAGATTATTTAATCCTGCTTTGAGTGACTTTAGCACCTCTCAGTCAACGAAATACTCCATGCACGAATTATCTTATCAATCCTCCTTCTTGAAGATCCTACTGTCTCTTATCCATGTTCTGGATGAATCGAGACCACCCTGGTCCTAACTAATTTGTTATTATCTGGTTTACCGGACTCCCACCGGTTACTGAACCCAAGCTCCATCACTCAGTCGTTCCAGCGACTTCCGAAGGAAACTTCGGCTATCTAAAACCGTTCTATCTACCTTCCCTCTCTTGCTCTATAAATCCTGGGATTCTCGATCCCCTACCTTGATCGTAAGGTCTCTACCAGGTCCCACCTATGTTGTTGTAAGCACATGGGCCTCGCCCACGAGTCTCACCCAAACAATATCTCGGAGCGGCCTCTCCCACATGTCTCACCTATTTAGGGCTTTGTAGGTCCAACTCCATAACGAATCTCAACTAACTATCCTTTCCTAATGCCTATCATTCTAACTAGGAGATACAAGCCTTACCCACACTCCACGAACTAGGAGATACATACCCTCAACCACACTCTATTGTCTAGGAGATACGTGCCTTCGCCCACACTCCACTAATTGGCTGTTATGGAATGCTACGACTATCTTGTAGTCTTACATCCTGACTAAACTCACATCCCACCCGGAAAAGTCTCCAACCTAGTTTCCCAAACCTATCATCAGCTAATCGTGAATACACAAACTCAAAGTCGGGAAGTTTCCCAACATCCCCAGTCACACACTCCTCTATCAAAATAGCTACTTGAGCTACTTTCCTTCTCAACAAAGTTGCGAAGTCATCCCAGTTTCTCACTTCCTCCTACTACTGACTATTTGGATAGTTCTCCCCCACTTCGATTCGACTAATTTCTTATAGCTCACAGGTTGGGAAGGATTACTAATCCTTCTTACCATCCAATGATCCATCTTATATCAATCCAACGTTCACCACCACTAATGATCCAAAACTCACCCATACCAAATCCATGAAATTCCTAAAGACTAACAAAACACCTCTTGAGTTCTAATCATCCTTGTTACAACTACTGCATCTTGGGAACCCGCTCTAAAAAGGGTACGACTACGAACTACTACTCTATAATCCATGGTATGCAGATGGCATATAATCCGAACACGAAGAGAAATGTAATTCCAAAATACATATAGTATCATTGATGCAGTACCAAATCAATAAAATCATTACAAAAAGGAGAATTTGAATTACATACCAGTGATCTATTGTGGCTCGATCTTGACTTCCTGAGGAACCATGAGCGTTGGAACTTGAACTCCCTCTCTCTGCTGAAGTATCTGTGATGAAACTGAGCTGCCTTAACCACTATACATGGGCAATTTTCTCTAAAATGACTAGGTTGATGGCAACAGAGGCACAATTCTTCCTTCAATGTGCATTCTCGGCAGAGGTGACCCTTCCATCCGCACCTACCACACTGCGACCCGTTGTGAACATTCTCATGTGCCCCTTTACCCTTGCACATCCGCTACGACCACTCAGGTCTATGACATCAGCTATAGCAACGTCCAACTACTAAGGTTGTTGACCCTAACTAGATGCCCACTTCCTCTTCCCTAACTGCACATCTAACCTAATCTCTTGCTCCCAAGTTACGCCGACTACCCTATCAACCGTCTGAACAATTACTGACTGACCCTGAAACCTAGATATTAACATGTCAGTAACATGCTCAATAATGGTAGGTAAACCCTCGCATATGGCTCACCAAACCTCCACAACGATCCAATCATGTAGTGGACTCTCCTGAAGACAAGGTGCGTAACCCACATCCGATCCCTGATGGAAAGAGATAATAATGATGTCCTCCTTTCTGAGGGGTCCTAGTAATCCATAAACACAGGGCCCCAGAGCAGCCGCTCAATGCCCCGTAGCGATCTCGGCGCGAAACGTCTCGAGGCGACTATCCAAAATCTCCAAAATCCCCTCCTTGATTGTACCCAAGACCAACGGAGTCTGGTCTAATATATTGCACGTAATCTCAGCTGAAATAAACTCTCTCATCTACTCCCCGAGCTACCCGACTCCTAATCCCGAGCCTGATCCCTCACCGGTGCCAGAACTGCCAGCTGGTCTACCCCGTAGCGTAACCATGTTGCAAGCATACCATAACTACCATCAGAATACTCATCACTATCGAGGGATCACACACACACTTACTAGTTCCCTGGTTACATCTTGGCCCTTGTTGAATTTAGTACGGATCCTTTGCTTTCAGTATTACGGGCCCATACTCTCTTCCACATCTATCTGTACTTTCCTCAAGAATTTCCTCGACTCCACCAAGTCCCTTTCACTACTACTATTGCTCCCAGCACTAATATCATCCTAGGATCGCCCTAGGGTAATCACCGACCCACCCCATCCTCAATTTCTGAAGGAATTCCCATCAATGTCAACTAACTACCTCATGAATATAGCCACATGTAATAGAGATCAGATAATCCCTCGAGTAAAAGAATCATCCCAAGAACGGTTGGACTCATACAAGAGATGCGTAATAGGGTCAATTCCATCACTATAAGATTATCTATCATGTACTACATGTGACCTAACATATTCACTTAGTAGTTAGCTCACATTTGTAAGATCCCCACAAAGCACAAAGCAAGCAACATTCGGATAATGGTAAATTAAAAACATAATCCAATCATATTGTTCTATCCCCAACTCAGGAATTTGTACTAGCATGCATTTCATAAAGCTTATACACACATAACAGGCACATAAAACATCCTTCCTAGATAATTAGTCCTAATCTAGCATGCAGTTCTCATAAGCATATCATATCTAAACAAACATGTATAAGTAACTTAGGAGAGCTTACTTGAGCTCGACTGATTACATGCACAACACCCAGACTGAATTGATGTGTTCAATTAGTAGTCTGAATTTAGTCTTCATAAATCGGGAAATATAGAAACATAAGTTTAGACACTGAGATTGATTTTAATCTATGTCTCATATCCATATGATATCTAGAAGAATGGAGGAATATCTCTGATCGGATTAGAGTTCAATAGTCTCTTTGGAAAGCATCATTTGTTGTTTAATTTATAAGTTATGCCTCTAATTTAGTTTTAGACTTATCCAAGTGGGAGACTATTGGATTAGGTGTCTAAGCTAATAAAGAAATTAGTATAATCTTGAATTATTAGCAAAGTCTTATGGGTTGCCCTCAAACCTAGTAATTCA